GCTTGTAGAAACGGCAACATTCCCTGAAGATATACCTTCCTCTGTCCCAGAGGAATGCCCTTGAGACTTTTGGTGCCGGCTTGAACTTGTAGATAACGGAAGCATCTATCTCCCAATTAGGTTGGGATGGCAACCAATGCTCCCTCTAAGATGTGGAGTCTGGTGAGCAAAAATCCTACTTTGTGAGCTAATTAGCATTAAAGTCGTGAGCGAGCGATTTGGCTGCTGCATAGATTAGTGGGCTCTGGAGCCATCCTTCCTGAGCCAAGATAAAAAGGTGTGAATTGGAGGCTAAAAAAACTGTGAATTAGCTCACACTACCTCAGCTTAGAGGGAACACTGATGGCAACGGCGAGGCAGGACGATTGTGACATGTGACTGGGGGATGGGAAAAGGGGCTATGTTTGAATTACCTACATGTGGTCAAGGTGGGCACCAAAACTGCCAGTTCTAAAACAAGGCTGCTCTGGATCCTGCCTATACCTCAACAAACATATCACTGCCAAAGGCAGGGTTGTTGAGAGTTAACTTGACCGGGAGTCTGATACTAATCCTTCTGCCTTCCCTTTGACAAACTCATTTGATTGGGTGAATGGGAAGGGGAGGAAAAAACCCACAAGTTGAGCTGATAAGATTCTGGATGATACAGCGAGGGATTGTGACGTGTGACTGGGGGATGGAAAAAGGGGCTAAGTTTGAATTACCTCCATCTGGTCAGGTGGGCACCAAAATTGCCAGTTCTAACACAGGGCTGCTCTGGATCATACCTATACCTCAACAAACATATCACTGCCAAAGGCAGTGTTGCTGAGAGTTAACTTGGCCCGGGAGTCTGACATGAATCCTTCTGCCTTCCCTTTGACAAACTCATTTGATTGGGTGAATGGGAAGGGGGGAGGGGAGGAAAAACCCCACAAGTTGAGCAGATAAGAGTCTGGATGATACAGCGAGGGATTGTGATGTGTGACTGGGGGATGGAAAAAGGGGCTAAGTTTGAATTACCTCCATCTAGTCAGGTGGGCACCAAAATTGCCAGTTCTAACACAGGGTTGGATCATGCCTATACCTCAACAAACATATCACTGCCAAAGGCAGGGTTGCTGAGAATTAACTTGACCGGGAGTCTGACACGAATCCTTTTGCCTTCCGTTCGACAAACTCATTTGATTATGGTGAACGGGAAGGGGGGAGGGGAGGAAAACCCCCCACAAGTTGAGCTGATAAAGATTCTGGATGATACAGCGAGGGGCCTGTGAGACTCACGGGAAGGGGGGAGGGGAAATCCCCTCCTTCCCCCCTTGTCCCCAAGGCCAGTGCAGCTCCAAGCTCCCACGGGCACCTCCGGGCCACAGCAGAACCCGCGAGCAACTCCAGTTTTTGGCAAGCCTGGGGATTCCTGTTTACAGCCCGCATGGGCCTGATGTGAAGACTCAGAAATCCAAAGATTGGGCTGCACTTGACTATTAGAACGTAAGATGTAGACAACAAGGAAGAGGTTGCACTCCCCCCCCCCCAACACAGCCCGATTTTAAAGTACGAAGCTTCCACACAAAGCGTTCCAAGAGTGACATTTGTCCACCCTCAGTCTCCAACCCCTCTCCGGGCCTGCGGCCACTTCCTCTCCTGTGGCATACCAGACCTCCACAGGGGTCAGGACAACAGTCTGCCGTTCTATGGAACAGCTTTTAATTTTAGACTGTTTATACATGGCTGTTTATACCGGCCAACCATTTCTTCTGGAGGGCAAACAGGGCATGGAGGCTGAGGCCTTCACAAGGACATCAGAAGAGACCTGCTGGATCAGACCAGGGAGGGTCCATCTAGTCCAGCATCCCGTCTCACACAGGGGCCAGCCAGCTCCTCTGGAGGGCCAACAACGGGGCAGAGAGGCCGAGGCCTTCCCCTGAGAAGAACCTCAGAAGAGCCCTGCTGGATGAGACCAGTGAGGGTCCACCTAGTCCAGCATCCTGCCTCACACAGTGGACCAACCAGTTCCTCTGGAGGGCCAGCAACAGGGCGTGGAGACCGAGGCCTTCATAAGAACATCAGAAGAGTCCTGCTGGGGGTCCATCTAGTCCAGCATCCTGTCTCACACAGTGGCCAGCCAGTTCCTCTGGAGGGCCAACAACAGGGCAGAGAGGCCGAGGCCTCCCCCTGTTGAGAACATCAGAAGAGCCCTGCTGGGTGAGACCAATAAGAGTCCCTCTAGTCCAGCCTCCCATCTCTCACAGTGGACAACCAGTTTCTCTGCAGGGCCAACAATGGGGCAGAGAGGCCGAGGCCACCCCCCGATGCTGCCTCCTGGCACTCATGTTCAGAGGTTTACTGCCTCTGCATGTGGAGGTTCCCCCCAGTCACCAGGGCTGGTAGCCACTGACAGACTTACAGAGCACAAGACAGAGTGGGAGCCCCCCCCCCCACTCACCTTCTTTCTTGCCCTGCAGGAGGCGATAGACGAAGCTGGTGAACCAGGGGCTCTGGCTGTGGTGGCCCAGCGCAGCGAACCACATCTGCCAGTCGAGCCGGGGCTGGTGAGGGGCCACCACCGGAGGCGCTACGCTGACGTTGCCTGGCTTGTACATGAACTCGATCTCCTGCGGGGGGGATGAAGGACCCGATTCCATTTCACGAAGGGCTTCGGGAGGTTCTCGCACCACCACAGTAAAGAGAGGGGGTATATACGAGAGAGACTGTGTGAGCAACAGCCTGTCTGAGACCCGCCTCAGCAGCTGCCAACACTGCACTCCCAGGAGGGTTCCCAACCTCCAGGTGGTACCTGGAAATCTCCTGGAATTGGACCCGACCCCTCTGGGGAAAACGACTAATTTGAAGGGCTGACTCTGGCCTTTGGAGCACGCTTCCTGCGACTGGTCCCCCCCGGGGCTTCCTCTACCAGCCCTCCTGCTTTCGGCTGCTGATTAGCCGCACCCCTTTATCCCCCCCCCATCCCAAATGTGCTTACAGACACAGCTTTCACAGCTGCAGGAAAGACAGGCTCTCTAAACTGCCAGAAAGGCCAAAAAGCTGCTTGGGCATGGCTCTCAAGATCCAGCAGGGCACATGCATGGCTTTGTGCTCGTGGGCACCGTTTTCACCTGCAAACACCTTTCCAAGCGCCCCGCCGAGCGTTTTAAGACCGTGTGTGGGACCAAGTGGGGGATTTGCCCAGCAAGGCTTCTGATTGGCCACTGAAGATTCAATTAACTGTGAAGATTTTTTTTTAAAGCTGCTTTGGCGTCAGGTCTCGCCCGGCACAAGGATCTTTGCGCTGGCAGTCATTTTGTCAGTTTCTCTGCCTCCTGAAGCGGCCATTTTGTCCCTGCACTGACTACACTGTGTCAAAATTCCACAGGTGCCCACTGCCTCAAAACAGTTGGGGATCCCGGCCTAGAGGTTCAACTGTGCTTGGATCACACCAGGGTCTTGGCCTGCACCCATCTGCTCCTCATAAGAATATAAGAACGTGAGAGAAGCCATGTTGGATCAGGCCAATGGCCCATCCAGCCCAACACTCTGTATCACACAGTGGCCAAAAATACCAGGTGATATCAGGAGGTCCAGCAGTGGGGCCAGGACATTAGCAGCCCTCCCACTGTTAAAGCACCAAGAAGACAGAGCATCCCTTGCCCCAGACATAAGAACCTAAGAGAAGCCAATGTTGGGTCAGGACAATGGCTCCTCCAGTCCAACACTCTTGTGTCACACAGTGGCCAAAAATACCAGGTACCATCAGGAGGTCCAGCAGTGGGGCCAGGACACTAGAAGCCCTCCTACTGTTCCCCCCCCCAAGCACCAAGAATACAGAACATCACTTGCCCCAGCCTGAGAGTTCCTATCTATACCTTGTGGCTAATAGCCACTGATGGACTTCTGCTCCATATGCTTATCTA